ATGATTATCCAGTTTTACGTGATGATTATCCAGTCTTTACGTGATGATTATCCAGTTTTATGTGATGATTATCCAGTTTTACCTGACGATTATCCAGTCTTTACGTGATGATTATCCAGTTTTTACGTGGATTATCCAGTCTTTACGTGATAATTATCCAGTTTTACCTGACGATTATCCAGTCTTTACGTGATGATTATCCAGTTTTTACGTGGATTATCCAGTTTTATGTTATGATTATTCAGTCTTACGTCATGGTTATCCAGTCTTTACGTGACGATTATCCAGTCTTTACGTGATGATTATCCAGTTTTTACGTAATGATTATCCAGTCTTTACGTGATGATTATCTAGTTTTACGTGACGATTATCCAGTCTTTACGTGATGATTATCCAGTTTTACGTGAAGATCTTACGTTGCTACGAATCTTGAAGGACTGAATATCAACAACGTAATCGGAATTCATTTTTCGAAGGATGTTTAATTGCAATCGTCACATAAAACTGGATAATCACATAAAAAAGGATCACAAAAAGGGTATTTAAGCGTATAATCCGCGAGTACATATTCACTATACAGCTGCTACTCAAAGAGTAAATATGTATACGTGCGACATTTGCTCCAAGGGGTTTGCATATAGAAGTGGACTTAGTCGCCACGCTAACAAGCATAAATCTATCACATTTCCCTGCGACACATGTGCAAAGAAATTTACAAGACAATACAACTTAATCGCTCACAGGGAAACCAAACATTAGCAGATTATTGATAACAGCGAGCTAATCGCCCACAACATGAACAGTACCTGTATTAGAAAATATATATACAGACCCCTCGACTGCTATGATAATGAAACGTTAAACATGGATAATGATGAACAATTAGAAACAGATTGTGAGAGCAGCGAAGATATGCTAGAAAGAGAGAGCGGAGACGATCCCGACAAACTTGTAAATGATTTACGCTATTATATCGAAGAGTGTCGTTTGACTAAAGAACATCACCTCTGTAGTGGCATTATCAACAAGCTACATGATATGGGAATAATTCAGTAACTTATCAATCATCTCCACCTCATCATCTTCATTTGTCTTTAGATGGCCGATCTGTGTACAGAATTATAATCGTCTACCATGAACGATTTATGTTTATGCTGGATACTGCCTTCTCCTATCATATACCAGTCAGTTGCAATCGAGATATCTTCCTGCGAATGTTGTATTAAAATTTTTGGTGGTCCCAATAGATCTTATACATCCTTTTCAAACGTAGTGGTTGTTCAGAATGGCTCTATTAACTAGCATTGATGCTT